CACTATTATTTATTTGAAAATTAGTATTAATATGAAATGAATAACAATACAAATATGTTTGTTTGAATGCATTTATATAATACTCCTTTCGTCTCATTGGTTTATTCCAAGTTTGACATTGGTGGTGATTTTTTTTAGATTGACCATAAAATATAGAAAAAAAATGCAATGAATTGTGATGCAAATTCAATGCCAATAAATTTATTTTGAAACGTAGTTTTTAAATATCATATTTCCATAATATATCTATATACACATAGTTTAATGTGGAACGAAGGGATTATTGTTATTACTCTTTCCATTCTAAAACGTTTTTTCCAGTTATTATTCACATGGTCCAATTTTAATCACTTTCTTTACCTATTTTCGTTAGTCATTTGATAAAATAATATAGTCTTGCCACCTCTTGTTTTTTTGAACTTTTAGTGTAGTTTTTAAATATATAAATTTTATTTTTTAATTTTACACTTTTAGCCAAATAAATTGAATTTGAAAATAAAGTCGGTCAAAACTCGTAAACCGAAACGAGAAAACTATTTTAGGACGGAGAGAGTATTATTATTATTATTATTATTATTATTATTATTATTATTATTATTATTATTATTATTATTATTATTATATAGGGTCAGACTAGTGCATGGATTGAACATAAAGCTCAAGTCCAGCCCTTATGTTTGCTGGCCCTCCATTTTTTACTCATTACACGATTGTTATCATACCATGACCATATCCATGCCAGGGCCGGCCCAATAGGGGGATAAAGTGTCCGTCCGAGCCCAATAAATTTAGGGGCCCAAAATTTTTTTAAGTATTATATATATGTATATAAGAAGCCCGCTTCATTTAAGGCCTAGTCCACCCACCCCTTAGCTTACTCTACCCCTTAGCCCAGTCCACCCCTCACCTTGTAGACAAAAAAAACTAAAGCCGCAAAAGCCAAACGGAGAAAGGACCGGAAGTCGGAAGAGGCGAAGACTCCGAAGCACGGCCGGCCCAATAATTTTAATGGCACAAAAAAATTAAGTATTATATATATATATATATATATATATATATATATATATATTGGCTCAAGTGAGAATGCGATCTTATGAAAGAAATAAGAATGAATCTGGTGCTTTAGATTGTGAGATCTAAGGATCAGGATTGCATCAAAATTAGATGCACCAAAACGATTTAAAAATGCATCATGTCGAAATGCACCAAAATCCTTTGAAAATGCAAACTGAAGCGGCAAAAGCCGAACAAAGAAAGGACCGGAAGTCGGAAGAGGCGAAGACTCCGAAGAGCCGACTGCAGAAAAAAGGACATGCACCACCTCCACCTCCGGACGCCGACCTCCACGGCTCCACCCTCCAGGTATTCCATATTCAATTATTCATAGATTTCCAATTTTTTAATTTTTATTTTTTAAATCTTAATTTTCTTTCATTGTTTCATTTATTATATTTAAAATCTAGGGCTAATTATTAGTTTTTAATTTGAAATATTTTCTAATTTCATTCTTTGAAATAGAATGAATTAGTGGTTCTATATGTTATTTATTTGATTTGGATGAATTGATTTTAATTTGTTATTTATGATATATTTATATAAAAAAACTGAAAATCAAAAAAAAAATTAAAAACTGATAAATTGACGAATAGATATGAACTTACGGTTTATAAAAAAATTAAAACTAAAAAAGAAAAAACAATTAAAAAATTGACAAATTGATATTAATTTATGATATATTTATTTATTTGCTTGCTTTTTCAGTTTTTCATACTTGATTTTACTAAGTAGTAGAATTTACGAATTTAGATTTTATTTCAGAAATAATTCAATAGTTATGGCTCCTAAGAAATTATCCGGTAGTCAAAAAAGAAAAAAGAGAAAACGAGATGAAGAAATGAGAAAGTCTCAAGCTGGAGCTCTATATAAGTTTATGAAACCTGTTGCTGAAGACGAAGAAGTAGAAGTAAAAGATTGAAGAGCAAGAGCATCTACAAATAGACCAAGAACATGTTGAAGACGATGAACATGTAGAAGAAGAGGAAGAAAATTTAGAAGACGCAAAATAACATCTTGAGCCTATGGTTAGTGTTATGCATACTGTTGTCGATATATTTGATCCAAGAAGAAGGGAAGGACTTAATTATTAAGAGATTAAACTTTTGGTGGAGAAAGGTCCAAAAAGAGATCATAGTATTCACTATAGTCCATTCGAAAAAAGATGGACAAAATGGTAGACGCTTTTCTGCAGCATTATATACAAAAACATTACCAAATATGGAGAAATGTGATAGAGGATGGCTTGTATATTCGAAAGAAGTAGACATGATATTTTGTTTCTGCTGTAAGCTGTATAGAACAGGAATTCCAAAAGGAAAATTGGATGGTGAAGGTTATGCAGATTCGCACCATGCTCATAGAAGAGTCAAAGAACACGAACTTTCAATGGATCATCTCTCCAATGTGAATAGAAGGCTTGATATGCGTAAAAGATTGAAGATGAATGAAACAATTGATAAAGTTCAGCACGAGCAATTCAAGAAAGAAAGAGATTACTAGAAACAAGTCATTTTCAGAATCATAGCATTAGTGAAGTTTTTGCCTAAACATAATTTAGCATTCTATGGCTCAAAAGAAAGATTGTATCAAAAAGGTAACGAGATAAAAATGTTTTACTTTTAAATGTTCCACTTTCATAAAATGTCATGTTTTTTAATTGTGTTTACTTTTTAACATGTAACTGAAATTTCTTGGGTCTCATTGAGATGTTACAAGAGTTTGATCCAAATATTCGAGAGCATGTGCGATGAATCACAAATGATGAGCTTCATGTGCATTATCTCGGGCACAAGATCAAGAATGAACTCATACTTTATTTAGCCCAATAGATTAAGAAGGAAATCATCAAGAAAATAAAGGAAGTCAAGTACTACTCAATCATATTTGATTAAACCCCTGATACAAGTCACCAAGAAGTATTTAAATTTCTTAGGTAACTCTATTATTGTGCATGGAAGAGTCCTTTTTAGGCTTCTTGAATGTTAATGATACCACCGAAAAGGACTATTTGATGTCACACTTAAGGAGTTAAAGTCTCTTGGTCTTGAAATTAATGATATTCGTGGTCAAGGTTATGATAATGGGGAAAATATGAAAGAAAAACACCAAGGAGTTTAAAAGATATTTTTGGATGTCAATCCTAGAGCATTTTACACTCCTTGTGGTTGTCATTATCTTAATCTCACATTATGTGATTTGGCTCAGAGTTGTGTTAAAGGGAAAAACTTTTTTGGAGCCATCCAAAAAAAATTATACTATCTTTGCACGTTCAATTAATCGGTGGCAAATTTTGAAAGATAATGTTAAAGGTTGGAGTCTTAAGCCATTGTATCAAACTCGTTGGGAAAGTCGTGTTGAGAGTATTAAGGCAATTAGAATGCAACTTTCCGATGTACGAGAAGCTTTACTTGAAGTTGAAGAAAAAGATA